TTGTGTTTATTTACTTAAATTATATTGTTTTATTTTTGTTTATTCAATTATATATTTATTCATTTGAAAGTTTGCCTGGAGTCTAAATTTTTGAGGGTGTAGTGCTCCGCTGGGTTATTTTGAAAGGTGTAATGCTCCCCCCTACAAAAAAAAAAAAAAAATTAAAAAAAACTTAATTGATTTAATGGCTCTGTTTTTCGACCATATTGGTACAACATAATACCATTGATTTTAAATAGGACGGCAGATACTTAGTGTAAAGAAGTATTTATAATCACGAATGACTGTAGATTCTCGTGATTTTGAGATGAACAATTTGTCATAGAAAAAGTAATTATGTATAGGTACCTATTACCTACATAGGAGAACTCTTCATATAGTAGCGATACCACCACAGAAAGAATGGTGCTATAATGTATATACCTGCAACGCATATAGCACATATCACAATAATTTCATCAAATAATTTCATCAAAATCATTTAAGTCCAATTGAAGTAATTCCTGCGGTAGTTGCGGGCTCAATGAATCACCCTGTATACACTATAGCGGACTTACTGTATTCAACCTTAATGCGTTTAAAGTTATCAACAAATAAAAAAATACATAAAAACACTACATCATGATCTATTATATTCATATATATATATACACGCAATAATAGAATACTTACGTGGTTATAAATTTATGTGTTTTAAGTCTTCTAAGTCGGGATGTCTGAGGACCTACGCTCTGCAGGACGAACAATGTATAATTATAATAAGCGTCGAGATGTAATAATCACTAATAAATCCCGCTTTTATATAGGTAGGTACCTATTAAAGGCCCACTAATTACAATAATCTAGCCACAGATTTATTATCTCTTACAATATAGGTACGTGTATAGCGCCAATGTCATAATCATAAATATTTTCTATGCATTAGTTCATGTAATTTTAGGTAATTTTTGGCAATATATGATTTTATGCGAATTAAACATATTACACCTGTGTATACGGTGAGTACCAAACTACCAAACTACCAAAACTATTGTAGGAATACAGGAGATTCAATGATCTCAGCGTATATATTATTATCATAATATTATGTTGTTGCCGATAGTCCGTAATAATGCACGAACTATACTGGAAAATAATTAAACAATCATATAAATAATATAAAATAGTCGAATAGCGCCTTCGAAGTTGCTAAGTTGCTTGTTAATCGATATGTTGTATAATAATATAGGTAATATTTAATAGGCAATAATATCTATATTCATAGGTATCTTATATGTCGACAGTTGACGTGATGAGCAAATCTTAATTTTTCGAACACGCTAATATAATTATACTTATAAGTGTTAACCTTATAGTACATTATATTTTATTTAGATACCATTATTTTAATCGTTTAACATAAAATATAATGTCTGCATTTTTAATTGCCGTTAATTTATCTGCATTACGTGTATTGTACACTTGTGCATGAAACCTATACATAGATATACCTTGTACACTTATTGGGTATTTTAAACTTTGTGTGATTCGATTTCGGCAGAGGTCGCACAGGATATTTTAACATTCCAACAGTTTAAACAAAAACAATTTAAGGGAGCATCGAAATGGAGAATTATATTTAAGAGAAACAAACACAAATAATTATTATAAGTTTCAAAGACCCCCGTACACTATTGTTATCGAATTGTTACCACAAATAAATAAAATATAATGTATAAAGCTAACTGTCCCTGAAGTTAAAGATCAATTAAGAAAAAGCGGGTAAGTGGGTGATGCTCTGCTGTACAGTAGGTTTATAAGTGGGTCACTGTAATGGATGATGTTAAATTAGAATTCAATGATATCATTGTACACTAAAAATGATTCTTAGCGGAGATGGTTGTTGGCCTAGGGGCTAGGATATTTTATATATGTATATTATATTTATATTGTTATTATAACTACTATAGCCAGGTGGCCGGTAGGTTGAATTAATATTATTTGCATATTACCATATTAATTGTATATAAAAATATACTTTAGAATAGTTTCAAGTATCCACGAATAATATAATTTTCAATTTACAATAAAATTACTTAAATCGTAATTCTTGGTTATTTTTTAATAATATGTATAATTTCGTCCAGTGCTGTAGTCGTAAAAAAAGCAGAATATATACTAAATGGATTGATTAGATATATGTGTAATATCCTCAAGTGCATTGTCTAACCTAATATTAAAGTAGGTATAGTGGGTACAAATAGTAAATTAGTAACATATACAATATAGGTATAATAGGTGTATATTGTGTACAAATTAAAATAAGCTCTAATGCTATTTCATTTCTCGATATTTCATTATCTAATCTACTAATCTATCGTAAATTGTCGTCTTGTGGTCCGGATATGTGTATTGTATACATAAATATATTTCTATGTTTTTTCTATGTCAACCAAAAATGAAAATATAATTGTACATTATATTTTGTGATTTTGCTACAACAGAGAGCATACGACCATAACCAAAAGGTATAAGATGTTTATTCGTAATGATTAGAAGTATACGGCGTATATCGCCGTATACGCTTTACTACAGCACTGATTTCGTCCAAATTTGAATATAATATAGCTATAAAAAACTTGCGTCTGTATACATTTTGAATATTTTGGTTACAGAATGAACTTTTTGTGCGGGAAATTGTTTTACATTTTCAATCCTTCACATTTTTAACATTTTTAACTACAAACTAATTTGTACATTTTCAGTTTGATAAATTTTATCAAAACTTGAACTTAAATGCTTATAAAATTTTTGCACATGTATTTTTAATATTTTTAAACTGATATTGTAACAATGTGTGAGGAGCCTTGTATTAAGTTTTCAAGCTTTTTGACCGAACGACTACAATTTTATTGAAAGAAAAAAAAATGAAAATTTAAAATGTTTGTAAACAGGTAAGACCTAGTTAAAATATTTTGAAAATGTTATCAAGTATGGAAAATGATATAATAAACATATACTGTTAATTTAAAGTAGGTTTATATTTTAATTAATTTTTGAATTACAAGAAAATAAGAAAATCGGTCCATGAGAAATCGAATGACGGAGTGAATATCCAATGTTGTAACAATTTAATTTGACTTTCCGGTTGACTTTTTTTTTTTTAAAGGTAGACGAACTTATGAGAAATCTTATATTAAGTTTTCTAATTTTAGATCTAAAGAGAACATTTTTTATGAATATCTAAATCACAATAATTTTCCAAATTTTCATAATTTATACGAACTTTGTCAAAATTTGAACTTCATACACTCATAAAAAATTACTGTGGGCTTAATATCAATTTTTTTTTAATTTCCTCTAAAAACAACTTATGAGAAACCTTGTATTACATTATTAATTTTGACCGAGTAAACATTTTTCTATCGACATTAATTTAAAAAAACCAATAATAATCGAAAAATGAATTTATCTATAAATAGCTCAACAAGAGTCAACATATTTTGTAGATCTCGTGGTGTATAGAAAATGATTTAAACATTCACCGAAAATTTCATGTATCTAAGGTAATTTTTTTTAGAATTACATCAAAAACCAAAATAGGTTTTGCGTAAAAATGCTTTTTTTTCCCCGCCGCTTTTAAAAACTACAGGGAATTTTAAATCTAGACCTTCCGAATGCATCAACTAGATTAATTTTTCTATAGGAAAATATACTGAAATTGAAAATCAAAGCATTCTTTCGACTACTATTATCGAGTAAATAGACACAAAAAATGAAAAAACACACATTATTGTAAAATTAATACATTCATTGCTCACTCAAAATCTAAAAAAAAAAAAACTTTTTCAATTTATAACGTGTTATATTAATACATTATATTACTATCTAAACTTATAAATTATAGATAGTAAACATTTTCAAAAATCAATTATCATAATGTTCAAACACATACAAATTTCAAATGTTGCTTAATATTTTATAAACAAAAATATATAGGTAGGTATACGTATGACTTATACTCTTGCAGGGTAGGCAGGTACCTACTATTATAGAAGTTAAAATGAAAATAGTTATTTACTTTAAAAAAAACTACATGGTACTGCAACTCAAACACCAAATATCCATTATACCCATCAGAATTATATTTAGATATGTAATTTAGTAATTACTATATTTTTATACTTATGAATTATTTAATGAACTCTCTCGTATTATTATTATATGTGTTACTTCAAAACCATAATAATTATCCGTTTCGAAAACGTGAGTAAATAGTTTTTGTTTTGCACGAATTTTCGAATATGTTTAAGCAATATAATATGTATAATATCACGTAGGTACATACATGCATAACACTGCAGTTGTCTTTACACTTTTGATTGAATAATTCACGAACGGGTTAACAGATACTTATACCTATATATTAAACTCATACACGGATTGGTTTAGTTGGTATATAATACATATTAATGAAAAAAATTAAAATTAAAAATATATATTATGTGTAATATGCATTAAAGCATCATCACTGCTACGACCTTTATTATTATATATGCCCGTAAGTCAAAACAACTCTGTAACGTACGTTTTGTAGTAGTATGAGTACTTATATATATACACGAATTACACATAATATATATATATAATAAACATGTATATTGTATATACTATATTTATATATATTATATACGCTATGTGCAGTAGTGTATATGACATTATAATGATGGTGTCTTATGGATTTAACTGCAAGTTGTTTTGCGAACCACCTCTTTCACGTCTTCTTCCTACAGTTAAAACAATTAATAAAATTAATACGTACCCATAACTGGTACATAATATCTGTATACCCACAGTGACGGTGATGGGTATGATTTTATACGTCTCAAAACATCGTGGCTCGGTGGTATATTGATGTTGCTCAATAACAAGTGTGCAGGGTTATGCCGCGATTTACGGAGTAGGCAAAAAGGGAGAGATTGTCGTGGCCATAAAATGTTTATAAGCGACCGTTTCGGCCATCTAAAAATCAGTATTGATCCGACGAACTCATCCGACAGACACCATCATCATATATTATATATCAACATAATATAACAACCGTCGTCGTAGACAATTGTTACAAAGTTTCTCAGTTCCACCTGCAAAAATCATGTCTGTCTCTAAAGTGGTGAGTTGACTACCCGCGGTCGCCGCGGAGTTTGTATTTTTTGCAACATGTTCGACGTCTTTGTCGCGGCTCCGCACCTGTTGCGCACCAGACGGGATATAATGCAAAAACACAATGTTATGCGACTGTCGTACATATCTAAAACGCGTTTTTTCAAAAATATTATGTTTACGTTTTTCTTGTTTTCCCGTCTGACAGGTAATGCGTTTCACCGGAATAACTGCTCTGCTCATGGTGGCGGGCTGCTCTTCGCAGACGGTGCAACCAGCACCGGTGCCGATCGTTTCGACTTCACCACCGTCGTTGTTGCCGCAGCCATCGCCTTATTTCAACGGCTTCAGACCGAACGGAGCGTACCCACCACAGTTCAACGGCGTATACCCGCAACAGTTCAACGGCGCGTACCCGCAACAGTTCAACGGCGTGGTGCCGCCACAGTTCGCTCAGCGGTACTACAACGGTCAAAACCCCGCGTACAACGGACAATTCGTGCCGATCTTACAGCAATCGTTCGATCTCTCCCCGGAGGGTAGTTACACTTTCAGGTGAGTCGTGGTTTTAGCGTGTTTTCGACCTAACCTAATAACATTATACCTCGGTATGCTAAATGTACTCCCCTCATAACCATATATACCGTGTTACATTGAGTTATAATAATATTTTATGTATCTTCGGGTGCGTGGCGTATACAGTTACCAGTCCGCCGACGGAACCCAGAGACAGGAATCGGGTGGTCTGAGATATCCGGCCGTACAAGGATACCCGCCAGTGATGGCCGTCCAAGGATCATACTCAGCGATAACTCCAGAAGGTACCTGTAAACTGCACGTAATAATTAATACTACGTCGTATAGACGACTCGTAGCGTCATAAACAATGACGACGGATGACTCGTATATATAATATTATAAGCTACGTTTAATTTTTATTCCATCTACTCTCCTCGCGGACGAGGGCGAGTGCAGCCCACCGGAGTCAGTGGACCATGATCTATATGCAATACTATGTTCAACAGTCGGTCTATACGAGTACGATACGACTCGGGTGCAGTCGATGGACGACGACATAATGATATTAGTGTATCGACAGCGATTGATTCGGTGGTAGTCTCGAAATATAACAATTATTCGTATGTTCGTCGCTTTTACTTCTCTTTTCGACTACATATCGCCGCGGTAATATAAAAATAATACGATGATGGTCGTATTATTGTAAACATACTACCTATATGTACCGCGAACGATATTTTACACAATAAATTACTCACATAAACGCGAGCGGTTCGACAATAGAGATGGCGAGAGCATAACACTAAAACATTATATATATATAGGTACCTATATTACATTACTATCTATTGTGTATCTACATTTGAGTTTGTGTAATGATATTATATTATCGGCAAAGTTATTATACTTTAGCCATCATCATCGTCGACAATCGGGTACAATTATCGGGTACAATAGGTATATATTATACGTATTAGACGTACAATATATTATATAATTGCACAATTATATAAGCTTTCGACAAATCAATCGTCATATTTTTTTCGCTTGAAATACGCTTGCGTACAGCACATAACTCCTATAAGGCACATATATATATTTTATAAGCATTCGACTTTATAATAAACGCACTTAAATATGTTTTTAAATATATTTTAATTGTATACTTACCGTCTAATGTGGGTATAATGATAAATTTAAAATTATTTCAGGAGTTCCAATTGAAGTTGCATACGTAGCTGATGAAAATGGATACCAGCCAACTGGACCTGGAGTCCATCCGGCCATTCAACGAGCAGTAGCCCAACAAGTGGCCCAAGCCAAACTAGAACCACCACAATTCAACAAATAATAATGCCTTTAATGTCTCAACGTGTAATGATATGATTCCAAACCCGAAATTTGTAAAAACTTTAATTAAAGTCCAATAAAGCGATATGTACATTGAACAAAAAAAAAAACAATTTGTATGGTTATTATATTTCTAATTCCTAATCAGTATACTGTACAGGTACGACAGCATACTTGGTAGTAAAAATTATGTTCAAAATATTATTATAAGAACAAAATATTAAAGAGCTTCTACAGAATAGAAAAAACAATTTGAAAATTATACTTAATATTAATATATTTTAGTTGATTTGCCTCATATTGTAGGAGTGTGTCGCTCTAATATATAGCTAAATCGGTTAGTTTCATTTTATTTGTTCGAATCTTCTGACTCTCACAACGCACTGTTTTTTTAGCCTTAGGTAATATATTAACTAAACATAGACATCTGCATGAATAAATTTGAAAACGTTTTGATTCCAATCGAACTGCAATTATTGTTTATGATAAAAATATCAAACCCTTGTAATTACTTAGTACTAATCTTGTTTTTACAAGTGTCTGGGTGAAAAGTTGAAAAATAAACTTTAGTTAAATACCATATACGCTAAAGGTGTGATTCCGTGAATATATAGATTTCATAATCCATGTTACGGTAATGGTACACAAAAGACTTTAATGCGGTGGAAATTATGAACTCGGCACATTTTGTGTTACGTATTTACGTCCAACACTATACATTAACCTAGGATCTTCAAGTATTAAGCGTTAAATATAATGTAGGTAGTTATTAGGTGCTAATTTATAAAGTTTATTTTGTTATACAAGCAATTCCAGATTCCTACATTATTCGCGCATATGATCTGTCATGATGAATCTGTTTTGTCAGGACAGAGGTCAGGTTTTTATCAATTCAACTGAAGTATATTTAGTGTATAAGTTTCATATGGAGTATATAATTAGTTATATGATCGATTTACTCAAGTTTTTTACGTATTGGAAGCGGTGATTTTCAGTCTTAGTCTAATATACATGAGGATTGAGCAATATTATTGAATTTAATATTATTTTTGAAATGTGTTCTATTTTCAAACCTAAAAAATGTTAAAAACTTATTTGAATTGTTCGTCAAGTCCAAGTAAAATCGACTTTCCCACATGTTTGTTTTTTGATTTTAACTTTTAAAAGATTTTTAATACGACAACTTTTTTTTTGATAATACTTTGAAAATCAAAACATTTTTGATGCCATTGATGTCTTTTAAGAAAAAAATTTAAATAACAACATTTCAAGTTTCAAAGACTATTAGTTATTACTAACGTAACCCTAATCTAAACTAACCAAAAAAAATGGATCTGCCTACATTGCTAAACATTGCTCAAAATAACAGATATTATCAAGAAAATCGCTGAGAAATCACAACAATTATTTTTTGGAACCAATCCTACTACCTATAATCTACATACAGCATAGACGCAAATCGCCAAATTTTGCTGCTTTTTGCAGAGGTATATGTTGAGTATTCGTATCAACTATCTGGTAATAAATTAATTTTTTCGATGTTAATGTAATACGTAATTACAACGTTTATTCATAATATATATAAAAGACAAAAGTATATATAGATCCAAAACAAAAAATAAAAGCCTGGGAACTCGGTGTGCTGTATACCTGTATTTTATGATTGAATTGTACCCCCGTTATTACAGAGTAGCTCACTGAAATGAGTGTGTTACATATATGAGTATACAATGATAAATCGGTGTAATTAAAACATACTCATACTTATACGGAAAAAATATTTTGAGCGGAGGAGACGAGAGGGGTGTTAAAATTATTATTCGAGTGTAAATTACATAATTTAAAAAATAGGTATTTAATTTAAAAACGTACTGTTAAAAAAATACAATATATTATTAGGTATGTATAAGAATTTTTTTTTTTGGATCATACATTAGATTAGGTACAATAAATTAATTCCACAATAACCCAAAAAGTAAAACGAATCATTGAATAAAAAATAAATATGATATAAGGTACGCGTTTAATGGCACTACTGCAATAGTCAGACCATTTACGACTATTTTATACAATGGTAGAATACGAACAATTGTCACCAATAAACTAATGGTTACAAATTACAATCAATACTGTAGTAGGTATATTACATTTTTACATTGTTGATATTAAATAATAATTAATAACAATAGGTCCCATTATAAAGCATATTATCTATATTACGTACGCCGATAAAATTGTCAGCTTGAACTGACTAATTATAATATACCTAGAAGGCGCGATATAGTTTGGAAAACGACGCACGTAACACCGTTAATCAAAGATAGTGTTCGTTGTTCGTAAATGTTATAAATGCTTATTATTATACCTACTGCTACATTATTATTGTAAGTATTAATTTTATTTGATGAAAAATTACATACAGCTTATTGTTATTTACTATTATTTAGAATGTTTAACTTATTATTGCGGCACCAGAGCAATCATTAACAAAACAGATTGATATTTTTCTAAATGTTATCTATCTAAATTTGAATACCTATATAGGTGACTAATGCAATTCATTATTAATTGCGAGGTACCTATTATTAATCATTATTTATAAAAATATAATGTTATTCTAATAATAATTAATTTAAACAGGTAATTATTTAATTTGGATTTGGTCATTCGTATAATATTCGTTTGTTCCTTAACCCTGGATTTTTATTCATTAGATATTTTAGTATATAGTATTGCTTCCAAATATCAAAAAGGTTAATAGGAAATTAGTCTTGTTATTCTGAAAATGCCACTGTGTAGTGTGTACATAGAAAATACTAATACACCATGCAATATTGTATTGGTTAACAATTTCAAGCCTCCCTTTCAATGATGCATATTTTTTTTAATAAGTTAATACACCAAAATAACTGAAAACAATAAATAACTCAAAAAGAGCCAAAATATTTTGAAAATTAAATCATATATAGAAAATGCATTCTTAAGGCAATGCTATTATCAATAATTGGCAAACAACATTATATTGTCCCCTACAATAATTTCTCACTAAATTACAAAAAAGAATTTAATCACATTTGTCGAAAACTTCAGTTGTTGCCACTGTCACTTAAATATTCCTGTTTTCACACGGTTTCATTTTAGTTTTCCATGCAATTATTATGAAAAGTACAGATAGTATACTGGGATTCATAGCCGGCACCACGAAAATCTATTGTTGAGGGGAGGGGGGGGGGGTGAGTCATAAAAATTGTCCATTCAAATATCATATTAGCAGACTTTAAAAAAAAAATATCCGAAGGTTTGATGTGCCCACAGGACCTTATCTTACCGCAGACAAACAATGAGCGCGTATGGAAAGCTTAACAACATTAAGGGCACTTTTTGATTACTCGATTACTCGCAATGCGCGGGGTAGCTTGGTAATATACATAGAATTATGGATTACTGCATTTTTTCGTAAAGACAGCCTAGGTATGCATTGAGAGATGTTGCTTAAGTCGCTCGTAATGCTGTAATTACACAGCATGTTCTTGTCTAGTAGTATGGATGTACCCACCTATAAAACAAATTATAAAAGTGGGTCACATTAGTCATTTTTACCCTATTGGCCTGTGTTGACTGTTGAACTACACTTAATATAACATCACAAACTATACATAAGTGAACGGCGTCACGACCCCACGCACCCCACTTGGCCACTTCCCAATGGCTCTTTTGAGATCTATTTCTAATTTTGAACCACCTGCAAGGCTACAAAGTACTAGCTGGATAACATTTGACACCAGAAACTTTCGTATAAACATAATGTAATATAGTTAATAATATATTAATATTGCCATATTGGTATATTAATGCGCATACTTCGCCTAAATTCGATATGTTCAGAATCTAAAAATATGCAATTTATATGGACCATATATTAATGGTTACGCTTCTCGTAAAGGGTACCTACGTACCTTTAATTGTATACAAAGAAATAAACAAGATCGACTAGGAGAAAAACAATATGAAAAAATGATTTGCAAGAAAACACATCAATGACAATGGTTTTATACAGAACCGATATAATTATTAGGTATAAAATTTATTTAAGTGATGGAAGTTTAATGACAATTATATAATGGATTAGAGCATAGACCATGGAACTTAAAATGTTTTGATTGTTATTTCATGTATAATGTATATAGGTACGAAAGTATATACCTATCAAATAACACATTACGGTTATGAGACAATACATTTATTATATTATGACTTTGACTTTTTTGAAGAGTAGTATGGCTATAGGTACTTAAGAAAAAATTAGGAGAATATGAGAATTAAGAGGACATTATGAAAACGTTTTAATGTTTCACAATTGATCACTTTATTATGAAGATTAATATTACGGCGTATATTCAAAATGTCAAAATGTGATTTCGTCGAAAATATTTTGTTTAAAAATTTAAAAACATTATACTTTGGACATTTTCAATCGAAAAAAAATACACAGTAATAGTTAACTTGTGATTAGAATACCGAGTGAAACTGAACATTTTAAAATCACTATATTTACCGTTTCGTTTTGAATCAATATAAAAGTTCAATAATATAATAGCTCAAACCAATCCGAGTTTAAACTATTACCTAGCAGAGAATTATAAAGATGCATTAGTAGTATGTTTCAATGTTTCATGAACAAATTTACCTGTACGGCTGTTTAATAGGTGGCACTTATATTGATAAATTATAGCTAGCGATTATTTTACAATTTAAATAATTTTTTTACTGGCCATATAATATTACCATAATATGACTAATAATATGTTAAAAAAATGATGCACATGTACCTAAATGATAAACATAATGGTAGGTACATCGTATGTGTTAGTATGTTACGACTAGAAATAAAAATAATAATACGTATTGACTATACATACTTAATATACATATATTAGTAAACTAACTATTACTAACTCTATAAACTAATAACTACTTATTTATAATTTTATAACACAATTTAACTGCAACCACCACGTTGCTTGCAGTGTGGTTTTCATTGTATGTTAATTTATGTTTTAATTTTTAACTGTTTAATAAATTACTCGAGCGATTGAACAAATCAAATATA